AAATAACTGTATCTAGTCAAATTCACTTAACTTGAATGCCATTTAACCTATGTTAAATTTATTAAATAGGTAGGTATACTGTGCATCAACCCTAATCGTAAATTTGATACCAAGACGCACATTCCTGGAAATTGACTTTATTTTATATACATGTATAGCCACTTAAATGGAATGGTTTCATTTTTCATGTAAGGACAATGCACACACATACACACACAAAATGACTAAAATTGACATATCATTGGTAATTCAGTAATATCGGGAAGAAATGTAGCACCTATTGCTATACAAACAGAGACTCAGCTCCGTTTCTCCTGGAATTGGGCAAAATATAAAAAACCTAATTTTAGTTATTTTTCATGACAAAACTGTTTCTACCTCCAATATATTTCACATTTCAAGAGCTTGCCAACTCCTATGCATAAATAAAAAAATGTGCAATGTTAAGAATTTCCACTAGTTTTCTATTTTACTCCAAACGTTTTGGCACTTTTCACCTGTAACCAATGAGAAATTATATCCAATTAACACCAGTATGATTTGACGTTTGCTGATCATAGAGGTATAAACATACCTCAATGGTTTGATGCATAAAACAATTACCAGAGTGAAAACATTCACATTAGATCCATGTTGACATTCTGGAAATTGATGACTGTCAAAAAGGGTGCGATGAATCATACTTTGTCACCTAAAGCGTGCATGTTGTTTAAATATTAAAGTTTGCTTTATTTAGCAAGCATAAATTTGAGTTGTTTTTTTTTTTAACCCATTATATACTGAGCCAAAAAAAAATTTACAAAATGGCACTTGTATAAAAAAAATTATTAAACCTCATGTAATCACTTTACTGGGAATTTATTTTTAAATTTAATAAAATCTTCTAATAAATCGAATATTGTAAATTGAGCAGCTGCTAGCTAGTGTTTTTAAACAAGCCACTTCTGAGGGGTAAAAAATGACTTATTAACTTTTTCAATGTGACTGCATAGCATTTGTTCTACTATCATAATGCAGCTTTAAAGAATTACTGGTGTACATAGCATTGTTTTCTAATGAGACGTTAATATTTTTATCAAAAAGCTAACTCCATTACAATAAAGAGGTTCAATCGGCAATTTTACTACCTTCTACTGTACAGCTTTTCAATGCAAACAATTGTAAAATAAAATTTTAAAATGGGGGAAAGAAATGCACTTTCATATACTAAATATAAGTATACATTTTGATTGCCTGGGAAAGGGGAATACAAAATGGCTGAATTATTTTGTAAATGACCAAATGAAATAAGCTTCGGGTAATTTCTGTGGTTATGATATGATACCGTACTCGTATTATGAAGCTTTTGTAATTATGCAGAAATAAAAAATGACATTTATACAGAATCAGTAGTTCATGTAGCATTTATTCAAATTATGTCATTATTATGTGCCTTTTGTAGGAATCACTGATACTGTATCTCCTCTAGTCAAATCTGTATTAGAAGCCGCGGATTCTATTAAATGATACAATGAAACGGAAGGGATACGGCTTCTATTCGAGCATCTACACATGAGAAATGGTGAATTTTTGCTTCTCAGTTGTTCAAAAAGAACTGCAACTTTTAATACAGATTTTTCGGTATAAACTAACAATAGTTAGTTGGACTATTAAAATATGCCTTAACATCAACACTTGCATCAGTGTAGCACCGATGGTGAAATGAGGATTTGAATTTGAGAACTTGTACAGGGGGCACGTACTTTGTTGTTAATAGCTCTCATCAATTTTCATTTAGGAAAGGGGAGTAATCTAAATGCTAGGGAAACAACAGTATGTCCAAGGAGTGGCTTTTCCTTCACAATTTCATCATTAGAAGTTTACTTGCCCTTCGAGAACTGGTTGGAGATTATTGAAATTGCAGGATCAATTCCTGCCATGTCCTAGTGTATAATTTCATTCCAACAGAGACTTGCAACCATTGCCTTTGACATGTATTCCAATATCAATTAAAATATCATGTAGCGTGACAAACTGAGTTCTGTACTATGATTACAGCAATATGCAATCCTTGGCAAAAAACTGCAGGATGTGTTGAACAGTGGCGGAGTCTAAACTACAGTCCAATAATTCTTCCCTGGTAGCGTTGGCAATCTTACTCAGTGTAGCACAACCACTCTGTAAGACAAGACACTGTAAATATCATTAAGGAAATGTACATTAATGAAAGTCTGACTGCAATGTTTACTGTTACATATTTTAGCCCTACTTGAGAAATTCATGAACATTTTTCTGAATTTTAAGGCAGTTTACAAGTTCTGTATGTCATTCTTTGGTTGGATCATAGAGCTAAAAAAAAAAATTGTTTTTTTCTAGTTCCATACTGCATTTTATAAAGTACCATACTCTTTTGACTTAATGCCCTGGGTACACAAAACCATGTTTTTTTGGGGGGGGGCACATAGTCCAGCACCCCACTCGAGAAATTTACCAAAAGATAATTTTCATTCATCATGTGCCAGATTAGAGAAAATAGTAAGACTTGTTGGTTAAAATTGCATCGTCATTGAATTCCACTTTAACAATGACAGAAATGAACACAAAAAATAAATATGTTTGATTACAATTATTATTTACATACCATCAGAATTTACAGTGTTAAATTATTAGTCTGTGGGGAAAACAGCCCCACATATGTAATGATATCCCCACCCTATGTTATTGCCTGCCCACCTTGCATATACAGGGCAAGCCATGAGTAGTTTAACTATGTTTTTAAGCATTGAAATGACTACCATTCGGCTACCTTGAATACGATTGTGAGACAAATTCATTTGCCATGTGAGCCAAGATGTAAAGTTTGAAAATGATTGGTCCAGGCATGTCTGAGGTGCAGACATGCAGAGGTGAAGTTTTATTTTGTTTGAACTGAAACTGTTAAAAGGATATGATGACCATTGATTCCAATTTTACTAAGTATTTGCATAATATAATCCGCTGACAGATGATTGGTTGTCATATGATTCACACGCTGACTTATAATCTCTGATGCCGGTTTACAAGTAGCCTGTCAAATATTAGGAAAAATATACTTATGTATCACATTGCAACAAGTCATTGTTAATGACGTAGTCCCCGTTGGAATTAGGAGAAATGTTATTCATGCCATCTTTGATTGAATCAGTAAACCACTGTATGTGCATATGTTCCAGATAAAGTACTCGACACATGCAAGAATGATTTGGTCCACGGAGTTCTTAAATATGAATGTACGGGTGGAGACCAAACAGGGACTAATTATAGCAATGTTGCATGAGTACTTGTGTGATGATTTGAGACTATGACGTTTACTTGAGTTATTTGCATAATGATATTGATACTATGTATGGAACATCTCGTGAGTATTTAGACTCGGTTCCAGGCCTAGCAGTTGAGCAATTAACATCTACAGGTGCTCCTCCAGTGTGTTATTCTCCTCCCGGATTTGGTAACCAATACTCACTTAGTTCACTCTACCTTGAGAAGTCTGTTTTCAGTTTACAACTTGCTTGTAAAATGTCAGTGTTTACAGATCCCACGTGACAATATGCGTAAAGGACATGAAACCAAATTATGCACTACTGAGCATGTTACTGTACTGCATTATGGGAGATTACTTTTCATTGTTTGTAATAGAAAACTATTATTTGAAAATGTTTTAACAAATTAGGATTAACATCAATAATATACGACTTTACGAAATAATCTCACCATGAAAACTCCAACCATTCTCTATGTTAAGTTGTATCTCGAAAAATTGGCAGCTGACCCCATTTTTTTTTCTAATTCTCTAATTCGGGTTGAACCTTCTAAATTATGTGAAATTCAGGCATACTGCATGATAACAAGCCTTTCAAAACCAGTTTATCATCCAATCATTTATCATTTGCATGGAATTTCATCATTTCAGCAAGTACCGGTATATACATTGTGTAGCTTATTTAACAACTATTACCTTTGCAACTGTCAACATGTTATCTACAGCTTCATTGGTGTTGTGAGCTGGCAGTATTGATAGTTTAGTATTCATAAATCTGCAACAAAACAAAGTCAACAGCTTGCAATGATTTAATTATTGTACATTGCAAATAAGTTTATGACCTGCTACTTTTGGGTGTAATAGGAGAAATTACAAGCAATGAAGTGAGCCATATGCATGATCTTCAAAAGGTCATACATCCTGGTATTTCTGGAGGTGCAAATTCAGTCGATGAGAATTTCCTGATTATTTCCTCGAAAATGCAAGCAGTTGAAATTCAAAAACTGTTCAACATGGCAAAATTATAATATCGGAAATTAATGCTGTAATATGCAAATGTACCCTCAGAAAATACCAGGATGTGTGACCTTTAGGGGTCATGCATCAGGTCTATTCAAAAACAATTAGGGTAACATGAAATGAGGTATAAAAAGCAGATACCCTGAGAATACCCTGTATAGAATCCATGGTTTCTATTAAAATGGTACAATACAACACAGAGGATGTGGCTCCTATTAGAGCATCTATGCATATGAGAAATGATGAATTTGTGCTTCTCAATTGTTCAAAAAGAATGGGTGCGACTTCTATTAGGGATGCAGCTACTAATTTTCGGTACTGTCATAGCAAGTGAGGCATTTTACAACTGTTTTTAATATTTTTAATATTTCTATATATTTCAGACTTCTCAGCCATTGACATTTTAATTATAACTTTGCAGTTGTGGCTTACCGTTTAAAAGTCATTGTTATTGCTAAACAATCTGCGATACATGTACATGCACTCATTTTAGAACATAGAGCTGGGATGCGTTCATATGCTAAGTAGCAAAGATCTCGCATGGCATAGATCAAGCATATAAC